GTCCCGGAGCACCTCCTCCTCCTCCTCTTGGTGGACCTCCTCCTCCTCCCCCTCCCCCTCCTCCTCCTCCTTTAGGAGGTGGAGCTGGAATACCTCCTCCTCCTCCTCCTGGTGGTGGCATACCTCCTCCTCCACCAGGACCTCCGGCAGTAGGAGGTGGAGTTCCTCCTCCCCCTCCTCCAGCAATAGGAGGACCTCCTCCTCCTCCCCCTCCTCCTCCCCCTCCTCCTCCTCCTCCTCCTCTAAGTGCAGGAGGGAAGTCAATGCCAAACAAAGAGAATAAAGCTCCTGTTGTTAAAAAGGCTCCACCTGCGCCTCCTAAAAGGACATCTTCAAGAAAGAGTCGTAGTTCTGAATTATATAGCGAACCACCACCTCCTCCTCCTCCTTTTCCTCAGGATGTTAAGAAGGCACCTCCCCCAGTGCCAGTTCGCTCTGAAAGCACTCATTTATCATCTCCAACTAAGAGACAGTCGGCCACAATATCCTTGGGATATGATCCTAATCTGACTAACGTAACTGCTCACCCTCCTCCACCTCCTCCTCCTCCTCTTGTACAGCGAAGGTCACAATCCTCACTCTCTCCTCCTCCTCCTCTGTCACTCATCACTCAACCTCCCCCTCCTCCTCCTCCTATAGTGACAGCTCCAGCTCCTCCTAATGGCCACAAGGATTACGATATACCTTTAACTAAACAGGAGAGGGAAGAGAGAGATAGGACAGTGCAGGATCCTTTATATGATGAATTACAGTTTAATAATGATCAGCAAGGTACATGTACATGTATTTTAAGCACATAGCCATGTACATGTACATGTACATTGTGTAATTGAATTGTGTAGTGGAATAGTAATACAGTTCGTAGAATTTTGTAATTGAAGAATGATTTACAGTGTAGGCCAAAAAATGACAAATTAGATTTTCATATTACATTTGCTTATAGAGACTAAGTTATGGTATACATCATGCTTGAGATGTTTACTCAACAAATATTTCAAATACAATGACCCGTTTTAATTAAGTTTCTAAAGTTCTTCTTAATTTCCCAAATGACCAGGCCCTTATCTTATTATTGTTGTTACATGATGTACAGTGTATGTACATGGTACATGTACACTTACAGTATGTGTAAGCTGTTATTATTACCATTTACATTGTACATAGGTTCCCAAATAACTGCTAAGCCCTTATCTTATTGTTATTGTTACATGTACATGTACATGTACATGTACATGTATATTGCTTTACTTGAACATGTACATGTATATGTACATGGACATGTACAATGTACATTTTACATTGTATGCTATACATTTATACATAATTGTACATGTATTATACATGTAGGTTCTCGTCCTCAGTCGCTGATTAGTGTATCATCTACTCTCTCCTCATCAATCAGCAGCTCCAGAGGAAGCAGGAAAGATGAAGTTGAGTATGACGTACCTCGTCCACCAAACTCCACCCTCCCTGCTCCCCCTCCCCCTCCTCCTCTTCCTCCCCCTCGTACCTCAAGTAATTCAGGGCTAATTTTTAATCCGGATGAGATGATTAATGATATTTTGAATGTATTAGAGGAAGAGCCAAGCCCCCCTAGTGGTGGAGCTTTGACAAGTGGTCTAATGAACACAAACGCTTCATCTTACAGCAGTTTAACTATATCTTCAAACAGCTCGGCAGATAATCTCGGAGTTTGGGACGACCTTAATTACGACGACGACGAAGATGAGTCTAGTGGTACCAACATAGAGAATCCTGTTCCAGGTTTGACTGATCCTAATTCTGTACTGAATGAAGATGACGAAGTGTTGCTTGATAACTGGATAAAGGAGTTAGAGTCTGGAGTACAGAGGATGTCTGGTTTATTGTCTACTAGTGAATCACCTCCTCCTCCTCCTCCTCTACCTCCTCCTCCTCCTCGGTCTCAGTCTAATGTGCCCCCTCCCCCTCCACCACCTATCAAGCCTCCTTCCCCTAAAGTTGAAGTTAGTTTTAACTGTTGTTGTTAGATGTAGAAATAGATTTTGGAGAACTACATTTTTGTAAAATGGAAGATTTTAGAAACCATTTAGAAAGATTTTAGACTAAAAGTCTCCCAAACTCTTTCTACATGTAGATGCAATGATGACAATTGCGACATGTACACATTTACAATGTACATGTACATGCATGTACATTACATGTACTTGTGTTTGCGGGGAAGTTTTTTTGCATATTGCTAAATTTTCTAGGTATTACTGTCTGTGACTTTTTTATAAACTCTTAATGCAGGAAGACCAACAGGAAAATTTCCTGCAGCTACATGTACATGTACATGTACATTGTACATGTACATGTACATATACACAGTACATGTACATGTACATTGTACATGTACATGTACATGTACATATACACAGTACATGTACATCTACATGTACATGTACATATACATATTGTAAATCATATTTATTCTTTATTTTAGACCCCGCCTATCAAAACGCCTGTCAATGAAGCCCCACCAACCTCATTCAATGCTCAACCTACTTCACCTAAAATTGGATCTCCTCCTAAAATTGAATTGTCTCCTCCCCCACAAGACCCTGGACTCCGCATGAAATCATTATCTCCACCTGAATCGGATCCAAGTGCAAGCCCTGTTAAAAGGAGGACGACACTATCAGAGAAGAAATTGGTAATGATAATAGTAATAATCATTTCCATGTAATAGTTGCATGTATTTTTTTATGTTAATCTCTGGCAATACTTGATGTATAGATGAATGTGAGTATAAAGGACGCATGTTATAAATAATAATAGTTGTTGTGTACATTGTTTATTGTTTGTTTTAATGTGTTCATTTGTTTACTATAGCAAGATAAATACTCATCATGGAGGGTGTCAATGTCAGCACTAGCAGGTAAGGTCTAATGAAATACACATGTACAGCACATACACAGAGTTTCTTTAATATACATGCAGTACATGTAAATTGATCATGTGATATGCGATATGTTGTACTCGTAAAGTACATGTATATATACATGTATATATATACACCTGTAACAGCAATTTATGGTGGTCAGGATGTAATGTCAAATTAGGGACACTTTTTTGCCAGCCAAGCATGCAGCCAAATGGCTGGTATGATACTCATAGTAGTGTACATGTACATGTAGGTGTAGTACATGTACAGATACATGTACATGTACATGTACATGTATATAGTATTTATTCATTTGTTTATTGTGTGTTGGTGTTATACAGGAGCTGAGGATAGTGACTTAGATGATATTTTAGCTGATTTGTGTAAACTGGAAGAAGATACAAAAGCACTTCAACTAGCTGCAGCTGATATATCATCAACTTCAAAGTAATATTAATATTAATAATAAAAATAGTGCCCGCACAATAATATAGTAGAAGGCGAAAAAAAGGATAAGTAGCAACAGTAGTACGCAGGTAGTGTGTAGGTAGTAATTTATTTCGTTACTCTTCGCTGCGCTACCCCCAGGAAGTACTGCAGTACCACCCAGTCACATGTTCTGTAGTAGCAAGCACTCACGCACTCTAGAGGCTCTCAAAGGACTTGAGGATGCTTCTCTTGGCTGTCTGTGCTCTCCAAGTTCATCTCTATTGCTGCTCTTTGCTGTTAGAAGGCTGTTTAGGAGGCTTTTCGCCCGATTCACTGTCGAGCTACTGTCCTGCTGCTGACCACGTGCACTGCTACTACTGGTGGGTTTGTGCATGCGCAATGAAGGAGTAGCGAACTACCTATGCAAAAGTAGAGTAGCTACTTATCTTTTTTTTCGCACTGTACTGTAGATTTATAATTACATGTACTGTATATTGATAATACTAGCTTCATTGTTTCCTCCACATATTGTACATACACTGTACATCTACATGTACAAGAATGTACATTATACATTTTATCAGTAATAGTTAGAGCTTTGAGAGCAGTTTTTATTTGATTTTCATGCACAATACCTTTCCCTATCTGTTACAATGTAATTGCTAAAAGTACCTGAAATATTGCTGTACATTGTACATCATGGTACATGTACATGTATGTTTGTATTTTCTCATTCTGTTTGTCAACAATATTTAACATGTTCTTTCAGTGACAGCTCAACTGTGAAGAAACCTGCACAGTCCACAAAAGAAGGAACTGTCTCCAGTGATGAGTTTGTCAAGATAATGATGACACTTCAAAACTCGAGTCAACTTGTTGCTGATCCATCAAAGACACTATCAGCTAAAGCTCAGACAGACTCCAGCACAGCTATAGCAAAAAGATCACGTGAGATTGTTCAGCACTTAATTTGTCAACTTACATGTACGTGCATTGTTCATTGATTAGTTTCACCAGCCTCCTCAGAACATGATGTCAGTTCAAAGGAAGAAGCTTCCAATAGCTCAGATATATTTTCACTTCACAGATCAAGCAGCATTTCAGGAGGTTAATGTTACATGTACATGTACATTTTACATAATGTACATGTACATGTACATGTACATGCACATGTGTATGTACATGTATTGTGACTATAAAGGCTGCATGGTTTCCAAATGTGTATCCCTTACAACAGCTCTACTATACTGTTGATGTAGTGTGGAGATAGAGCCCAGTTCCAACTCTACAACACTTGTATACTAACCATGGAATACATGTACATGTACTACAACGTCACATGTGCATGTACAGTACATTTACTTTATGGCTAGAAATGTTGTAGCCTATTTCACATAATTTTTACAAATTTTGAGATACATGTCATGCAAAATTTAACCCTTAAAGATTTCATTCTTTGACATGTACATGTATTAAGCCATAGCAGGCAAAGTGGACTCACAAAAATATAATCCTGAAAGGAATATTACAAGATATTCACAGTTTGTTCTAAGCAGGATTAGAAATTTTCATTTGTCTTATTTTCGTTCTGAGCAGTCATTTTGTACACGTGGCATTGAGGAAACACCTTTTTGTTTGGAAAATATTCGTTCCACAAGGAATAAGAATGAAAAGAACGAAATTAAACTGTGATGGAATATACCCGCTATACAGTATCTGGCTACATGTACATGTACATGTACTGTATACACATGTGCATGTATACATGTACATGTAAGACAGGATTGTTGCATAGTGTTCATACTGCAGCTGTCCTCTATACATAGTACAGGATCTTCCACTAAAAATTGCTAGGAAAAAATTTTCTAGTTTTAATATTTTTGATGCATACTTATACAGTACATCCTCCATTATCTGAACAGCTTGGTGCACTTTTATTTGGAGAAATGTTCGGATACCTGAATAATCCGGATAAGTGAAATACAGCACATAACACAGTAGACCGACCTATCCTGTCCTTTTTTGAAGAATAAATGTGCATGACTTTCCTTTCTCTAACTCGCAAAGCATCTCAGGCTTCTCTTTAATGGCCTTCCTCTTGGGTAAGCTCTGTTAAACTCATGCTCCAGCAGCCATTTTAACCGGTTATTAATAAATTAACTAGTCTGAGCATGCACATTAGAGACAGCCATGCGTTCAGATAAACGAGGGTTCGGATAACCGGTGTTCAGATAATAGAGGATGTACTGTAATTACTGTACATGTACATGTAGGTTAAATTTTTTTTTTAATTTTAGAGTTCAAATTTGAATTTTTTTGTTTTGAGTTTATGTTGTGTAGGAAGTTTGAGCTGATTCCATTCAAATTTGGATTTTTAATGAATTTTTGAAGCCGTTAAAAAATGTGGCTCAAGTCCCTGTACTATAATAGTACAAGGGTTTTTGGTCAAATTTTGTCAAAAATGACTTGAGAGAATTCTCAATTTTATAATTATTTTATTTATTATTGATGCATAATGTTATTGTGTGTTTCTATAGGTACAGTGAGTGGTAATACAATGAGACGTGGGACAATGAGTAGAAGAAGTGCTAAGAATGTGTACATGAATACTACAATCATTGAGCCGCCATCACCTACTCATGTACGGCATAAGATTAATTATGCATGTACATGTTTATGTACATCTTTGAATCTGTTTACTGTAGGTTGCTTTGAAAAAAGAATTGGATGATTTTGCAGATAAACTTGTCATTGATGAAAGCTTGACAACTGTAAGAGACTGAATGAGATGGAGAGAATTGGAAGAGAAAGAGGGAGGGAAATAAAAGCAAGAATATAATGGATGGGGAAACAGGGAAGTGGGAGAGAATGGAAAAATGATATACATGTACATGTACATGTACATTGTACATGTATCAGGGTTCTGCCTAGAAAGAAAATTAGAGGTGGTTGGAGACTGTTCCTTTTAAATTTATGTACACCATACTAGTAGACTATAGTATCATGCTTTATGTATGGTTATTAGTATTAATTGCATGGTTGGTCTAAGTGATGAACTAGTTGGTTCGTTTGTTGAGGTGGTTACCCCGACCATAATAGGAAGGACTATAATGTATGGAGAATGGATTAATTATTGGTATCAATTTTAGGAAGAACAAGCTGCAAAACTCAAAAGTGAAAAGATTAAGAAAGCAATGATGAGATTGAAGGAAGCCAGCATGCAAAAGGTTTGAATAATATTGTTTGTTATTTATCATTATTAATATTTTGCTTTATTGTTCAGATTGTAATCAAGGCTCATAATATTGATGGGAGTGTAAAGACAGTAGCTATCACTGAAGGAATGACTGCTAGAGATGTGTGCTTCCTTTTAGCTGAGAAGAATCATCAAGACCTTGGACCTAATTGGACTATTGTAGAGAGAATACCTGATTTATACTTAGGTAATTTAATGTCATGTTACAATATGTGGGGTAATTTTTGTGATACCGTATAGTGGGAAATTTTGGAGGGGATTAAATTTGGCTTTTTGATAGGCATTTGCCAAAATAAAAATCCGCCATTTTGGGCCATTATGCGCATGCTCAATGGCACGTGGCCACAAATTCACCAAATTAAAATCCACCAATCACCAAAATTAAACAATTTGCCAAATTTTAGACCCTCCAAAATTTCCCGCTATATGGTATGCTACATGTACATGTACCTGTACATGTAATTTTCATTATTTTCATGCACCTTAAATCCACAAATTAATTATATTGTAGCTCACATGAAAATTACATGTACATGTACATGTACATGTACATGTACATGTATTTTTGAGCACATTAAATTTGCATTGAAAACATGAAATTTTAAACACGCAAAAATTTTAACGTGCATACATTATGTACATGTACATGTACATATTATTATTATTACATGTACATGTACAATGTACATTTACATTTACTCGTATTTCTCAATAGAGAGGACACTGGAAGATCATGAAGTTGTCATTGATGCTGTGTCTCATTGGCCAAGGGATCATAACAATCATGTTTTGTTTAAAAATAATCCAGAGAAATATTACTTGATTAAAAGACCACAGGTGAATATTTCTAATACATGTACATACATTGTATATGACCATGTAATTTTGACATTTTGTCTCGTTAGCTCTTGATGCCGTCAAAACATGTTTATTCGAGTCTCAATCCTGCAAGAAACAGAGGGAGTTTCACTGAAGATCAAAAGAGACAAATTATTTTAAAAGTTAGTTTATTGTAATTTTTTAGTTTAAGCAAAAAATCATAATACAGTACAGTGCTTTTAAAAAGCTAATTAGCTACTCTGCAGTTACTCTACTGTTGCGTGGGTACAATGTAGTTCGGTGCTCTTCGTTGCGCATGCACAATATGACAGTAGTAGTAGTGCACGTGGTCAGTAGCAAACAGTAGCTTGACGGTGGAATCAAGCAAAGATCATCCTAAACAGGCTCCTAAAAGCAGAGCAGCAGTAGAGATGAACTTGGAGAGCAAAGACAGCCGAGAGAAGCATCCTCAAGTCCTTTGAGAGCCTCTAGAGTGTGTGAGCTCTTGCTACTACAGAACATGTGACTGGATGGTATCACAGTACTTCCTGGGGGTAGCGCAGCAAAGAGTAATAAAGAGTAGCGGAGTAAAATAACTAACTACGAAGTTCTCTTTTCTACTGTGCTCTACTTTCGCTATGTAGCTTTCTTAAAGCACTCTACTGTACATAATAATTTACATGTGCCTCTGAATTAAAAATTGAACATTTGTCGTGAAAGTTTTTAAATATTTTTTATCAAAAATCGAAAATAAAATAAAACAAAATTTTAATGTCTTCTCACTCTATTGTAATTCATGTAAAAATTAATGAAATCTAAATTTGTCTTTTTGTACATGTAAATGTATGTGTATATGTAGATTAAAATTTAGCATTATGGTACATGTCTTTCTATCTTGTAAAATCTTTAACAATTTTATCATGAAAGTTTTTCAATTTTTCTATCAAAAAATAAAATTAAGTAATTCAAAATTTAAAACTCTTTTAATTTGTAGGAAATATTTGAGCAGAACATAATGCCTCCAATAGAAGGTGAGCTCTACATCAGAGAAGGAAAGAAAAGCACCTGGAGAAAGCACATGTTTGCTTTGAGAGCATCTGGTCTTTATTATTCTAAAAATGGAAAATCAATGGTTCGTCTATGTACATTTGTACATGTGCAGTATACATGTACATGTGTACCATATTTCCTTGAATAAGGGCCTAGGTGTTTATTGCTTAACGGAGGCAAAAATTACAAAAAATAAAATAAAAAAGTGCCAAAACCCGGGCTTAATCCCACGACTTTATGTGCCTAAGGCTGAGAATGAATAATTAAACTATTTGGACCACTCCAAACTCAAGTGCACATGCACTGTAATACTGAGACAACTATGCTTATCTATAGTGGTAATGTACATTGTACATGTATATTAGTGGGCCTTTATTTGAGTAGGGCCCCTATTTGAGGAAATACAGTATGTACATGTACATGTATGTAGTACATGTAATTGTACTTGTATTAGTTTTATGATTAATAATCTACATACATTGTACATTTAATAATAATGATAATAGTTGTTATTCTTCTTTCTTTATTGTTATTATTATTATTATTGTTGTTGTTATTATTTATTATCATTATTTACTTATAATAATAATAATACATGTACATGTACATGTAATAATCTATGTAGGCTAGCAGGGATTTAGTAAGAATTATTGAATGGAAAGATGTTGAGTGTTACTATGGCAATCAATACAAGAAGTTTTACAAGGCACCAGGACACTACTGCTTTTCACTGATGGTTAGAAACAATCTTGTATTAATCATATCCTCCTTTTGCCTCTCCATTTTCCTACTACTCATACGTTCCTTTTTTGTCTTCTCTTTAATTATTTTTTCTTTCTCTCTAATAGCCTTATGGGCCTATATCTAAAGTAGAAAAGAAGATCATTCATGTTTGCGTGCCAACTAAGCATGATCTCAACTGCTGGGTTACCGGGATAAAACTTGCTAAGGTAAACTTACAGTATTGTGTACTACATTCATGTACATGTATGTGACTACAATTGACAAAAGGTATTATGTGGCGGCCATTGAATTCGTCTTTGGAGCGAATAAAATCCAACTTCCTGAGCTCCATTAATAAAAGAACACGCACAAGTTGATATTTTTTCAATGAATGATAATGAATGATAATGATGGATTTAGTAATCCGCTTTTGTCAATTATACATGTAGTTACATTATTTATAATAATTGTTGTTGATTATTTACAATAGCATGGCAGTCAGTTGAAACAAAATTATGAAGACACGAAAGCTGAACTCCCTTGGTTGCAGTTGGAGGATGATAATTTAGATCAGTTGTTGATCAGTGCTGGAGGCACTAAAAGAGAGTCTTACTCACCACGATCAAGAGATGCATCCAGTGCTGAGGCTGGCTTAAAGGTTTGTGGAGTCAGAATAACTTATAAGAATCATTAACATGTACATGTACATTGTACATTGTACATGTACATGTATGTTTTTTAACATCTGTACGTGTACATGTTGTCAATTTTTTGTTCTGTGGCTTAATGTTCTTTTATGCTCTTTAGGCAAGTGACGATGTGTCTAGTTTAGATGTATCAGGTAATAGGAGTGTATCTGGAAGTGTTAGAGGAAAGAGCTGTAAGTTACAGTACACATACAGTGGAACCTTGAAATGCAGACCCCCTGAGATAATGACATCATGATAATGCAGACACTTGCTGCTGGTCCCGGACAAAAAGCCATAGGACACTGTATTAGCGAACGAACCCCTCAGTTAAGGACACCTTGTTATTCCGTAATGCGGCCACTTTCTTGATCTCCAAGGACAGTAGCGTGACAGTAGAAGACAGTAGCGTGACAGTAGAATCGAGCAAAAACATCCTAAACAGGCTTCTAGAAGGAGAGAGTGGCATTATACATGTACATGTAGATGAACTTAGAGAGCACAGACAGCCAAAGAAGCATCTACAAGTTCTACTACAGTACATGTGACTGGCTGGGATGGCAGCATAACGCAGCAAAGAGTAATGAAGAGTAGCGAAGTAGTAGCGAAGTACATGTACCTACGAACTACATGTACCTTCAAGGTTCTCTTCTCTACTGTACCCTACTTAGCCTTTTTTTGATGTGTACTGTATGTTTCTGAGCCATACCAGCGATACTTGCAAGGAATTTCTAGTCCATATCCAGTTCCTCTGTTCACCCTGTTGCCTGGGTGACTGCAACAATAATAGTCCTTCATCATAGCAACAGCACTGGAGTCCATGTATTAGTTCATTAATTTGTTCTTGTTTTAAAAACCCCTGAGTTAAGGACATCCCTATAATCAGGACACTTTGGGGTGGTCCCAATGGTGTCCGCATTTCGAGGTTCCACTGTACATGCATGTACACATGTACATGTACATGTACATGTAGTTGCTGTACGTTGTGTAACCAGTTAACCAATGATAAATGCATGCATACATGTACTGTACATGTACACCGTACATGTACATGTAAGTGGAGGTTACAGGAAGTTACACTTAAAAGCTTTTTAAGGCTGAGCAAAATGTACATGTACATGTATGAGCAAAACTGTTAACAAAAATGCCTTAAATATCATGCATTTACAGTACATGTAACAGTATTTAGTTAAACTTAATAGTAAATTTACATGTTTACATGTACATGTTTTGATTGTGCATCTCACAGTGTTCCCCATTAGATATATGTACATGTCCATTGTAGATGTAGATGTACATGTACACGTACATGTACGTTTCATTTTTTTAAATTTTATTTTTATTTAATTTTATTTTTATTCATTTTTATTAATTTGTAGCACAAGAGAATGATTTGTCTAGTGGAAGTCTAGGTGGAGCTAGTCATATTATATCAGGTCCAGTGATTGGTGCTTCAGTGAGAGGAGGGAGAAGGAACCAAAGCAGCAATGCACTGGCATCTGCCTTTAAAGATGCTTGGAAACAAGGAAACCTGGCTTCAGAAGTAATGATTGGGGATTTCATATACCGCACACGTGTGAATGTTATCCTAATTGATACACTGTACATGTAAATTTAAATATTTTGAGTAAATAAATTAATACTACTGATATACAATGTCAGGGTTGGGGTGAAGTACATGTACTTTGGTACTTGTACTTATATACATGTACATGTACTGTATGTAGATGTACTGTATGTACGTGTACATGCATGTAAGTGCACTTAAGTACATACAATGTACATGTATTTTCTGGTACTTGTACTTATACTTACATGCAAGTATTGGTCTATGTACTTGATGTACTTGATGTACTTATAAGTCCTCTAAGTACTTTTAAGTCTTTTAAGTACAGATTGTGCAATGTGTGTATTATTAACACAACTGGTGTGATTACACTTACTATTTCAGTGTATCACAAAAAGCAGGTGCAAATACTTTGTCTTCAACTTAAAAGTCAGCCAGTCTCTTCGCTTACATGTATCTGTAACTGTAACTGAACAGTGTAATTTAAAGGACTCACATTTTGAAGAATTTATGTTTATTAGATGTAATAATAATTGATTGTAATTATTACTTTAAAAAGTACACTGTACATGTACTTACACTTAAGTACTATTGCTAAAAGCTGTATGTACATGTACTTGTACTTGTACTGATACTTACACTGTAAGTATGTATAACTTGGACTTTGCTGAGTGCTTTTCAATGTCTTCACTCCAACCCTGATTGTACATGTACATGTACATTAAACACCTAGTTTTTATTAAGCACAGTACAAGGTTTTTAAAGCACAGTACAAAGCAGTAGGAGTCCAAACAGTTTGAGTTAAACCTGTAGGAGCCCAGACACTTTTTATAAGCGTGGTGGCCTCAAACCACACTGTCATAAGAGTATTTTTAACCCACCACCATTCTAAAGTGATTGATTAATTATTGTAAACTATACCTACAGTCTTTATTAAGCGCTGAGTCATTATTAAGCACCTATTTTTCTGCCATTTTCTGCATAAGTGTCTTATGTTTCAGAACCTGTTAGTATGGTATGTACAGTACATGGCATTTGGAGCAACTTTTTAAACTTATAAAAAACCAAATTTTATTGGAATCAGCTCAAAGTTCATACATGTACATTGGATAAGGACATAAAAATTATTAAAATGGAGAATTCTCTCCTAGAAATTTTTGACAAATTTTGGCCTTTTGTCTTTTGCCGATTTTTGAGCAACTTTAAAAATTATGTACATTGTAGATGCATATGTACCCTGTTCTGTTTTGGCCCAATGTTTGAGCAACTTGACAATCCACTGACAAGAAGCTGCATGAGCAGATTTGCATGTAACTTGCAGAAATTATACATGCACAACAATGTACATGTACATGTACATGTACATGTATTATGCTATAGAAATTTATGATGAACAACGCATGTACATGTACATTTAAGACTCTTATTGAGCTGTTTATTGTATACATGTACATTGAAATACATGTACCTTTTTGTAAGTAAAAAAATTAGTAATAATAATTACTTGTGTCTTGTACTTTTAGATGAAACAAGAGGAGACTTGGCCGATTTTTCAAGCTAATCAAAAAGCTTCAAACAATTTTACAAAAGACTCTAGTAATTCACTGCAACCAGGCACAGCCAGCGGAGAAAGTGAGAGGATGTTTGAGGAAATGTCAGGAATGGTAACATTGAAACGGAAAGGAAAAGAGAAAGGAGATCAGAATCAATTTGGAAGAATAACAGATAATGATAACACTGTATCAATTAATAATATGTTACAATAGGTAACAAGTTTCTTTGTATTTTTTATTGTCAGTTATTATTATTATTATTATTATTATTATTAATTATTATTATTATAGCATTAATGTGAATGTCGTTTCTCACTGTATTATGTAGTCATTTTTATGGTAATAATAATACTACTACTATGATAGTTTGAATTTTGAATGAGGTACCACACCTACGTAGCTAATGAACCGCCCACGCATGACGACACTATTATAAACCTTCCTCCCAAAAGGCCTAGGAGGCTTTGGGAGGAGTCGATAAAGAGATTTTAGTTGAAGAGGAGACGGGAGAGACTCTTTCGGCACTTCAAGAAAAGGAGATATCTGATGGAGGGTACTAGTTCTCCTCCTCCTCTTTCCTCGAGCGTTCCCTTAACGGCTCAAGCGGTCAATCATTCTACGCCATTGGGACCCACAGAGGGAACCGTCGAGTCTGACGAAAGGTGTCTTGACGAGTCTATGGAAGACGCTAGTGGGATCCCTGGCCTCAGCGGAGAGGCTAGCGGCGGGGGAGAAGGAGGAAAGAAAAGGAAAGTCTTCCCATTCCACATAACGAGCGAGTTGAAGTCACTGTACAGGTCAGGAATGATAGGCGTTGGAGTACAGTACGCGAGTCTTATAGAGACTGCTTGTATAAGGACTGGATTATCAAAGGCACAAGTGAAGGTATGGAAGAGGGAACGGGGTAGCGATTGTGTTTAGGGGAAGGGTAAACGTGTGGTTTGATGGTGTGAGATAGTATCACTAATTGACGAACATCAGTTTCTGTAAAACATCTGTAACAAGCAACTGTCCCCAGATCCCTCTCTATCTTCTCTTAATTCGTTTGAGTATGTGCGTGAATTTAATTATACGCACAGTGAGGCACATACCTCAAGATACTCATACCTTTATTAGATCTGTATAGAATGTCAAGTACTTAGACTCCTACTATGCACTCCTACAACATACCTTTCAAATAATACTCCTTAGTTCCACTATTTCTTAGTTTCACTACTCCTCTTTCTCACCTCCCATACTCTCTCTCCCTCTATTCTTTCTCTGTATTTTCCTACATGTACATGTACATGTATGCATATATATGTACGTGTACATACATGTACTTGTAAATGTAAGCTCTTTATTTTTGATTCATTTTATCTTTATATACATGTACATGTGCATACATGTATATGTGAATCCTCTCTCTCTTTCTCTCTCTATCTTTCTTCCTCCTTCCAATGTATATCTTTATCCATCTCTCTTTCTCTTTCACTCACTTCCCTCTGTACCATTGTATCTATTAGAGTTGGATTAAGAGAACCAAGTATCATCAGAGGAAAATACTCAAGCAAGACGAAGAAAGGAACAATGTGTACAGTGCCGGGACACAAGATGAGGATGAGCACTATAATGAAATTGAAAATGACCCAGTTACCTTATACACTCACAATGAGCCCGAAGGATTTCATGAGCAAGGAGGAGTCGTTTTCGTCAAAAACGAAGAAAGCTCTGTTGAGAACATCCCTCTCCTCCGAAGGCACGTTTTAATGCCTCGAGAAGCGGAAGTCTTGGATCTTAGCTCTGGAAGTCATTCGAGTAGCACTTTGCTGGATAAGAGAGGAGTAGGCGTGGTTAGACAGCTCCCTATAGTACATGGTATTGATGGGAACAGATTAGAAGGTGAGTGGGAGTGAGTGAGAATTCCTTGCATGAGTCTGGTATGAATCTCCTACTACTATTAGTATTTAAGTAATTTAGCACACACAGACACACAGACTGTGAGAGAGAGGCACTCTTGTGGATTATATTATAGGATTGTAATGTGTTGTGGTATTTTGTTTGTATTATGGTATCTGAGGTATTGTATTGAGAGAAAGAGGAA